CCCCTCTGTGAATCACAGAAGGCTGGGCCTGGAGAGACGGCACCCGGATGAGTGCGGCCCCTCAAATGAACACAGGGAGTCCGAGGAAGCAGCTGGCCTGAGGCTGAACTCATGAGCCAGGTTGTGGACGGAAAGCCATAGGAGGCCAGTGAGTGCAGACCTGCCAAGGATCTTAGGAGCTACCTAGACCAGCGGCTTGTGCACGTGCTCCCAGGACCCCCGGGGGTCTCCACGGTGGAACAGGGCTCCAGGGCTGGGGTCTGCTTCCTGTCCCCTCACTCACCTCACCCCCCTCAAAACACACCCCTGCTTTGATTGGTTTGAATAAAGGGCTTTATAGATAAAGCAAAAAATTTTTTAACCACGTCAAGGTTTGAAGATGGGGAACTGGGGTCCAGAGAGAACAAAAACTGCCGTCCCCTTGAAGACAGCTGGTGTGGAAGAGTTCTAGAGCACCCAGCAGGAGAGGCCAAGGTCGTCCAGAGATTCGGACACCCATGTTCTTGCTCATTTCTTTAACCATCATGGTTTGTGGACCTACCAGGCACCCATCTGTGCTCAGGGCTAACAGGAAAGCGGTACGCTGTGCAAACCCTGAAAGGGCAAATCATCAGTACAAACCAAGGACTGCAGAAGGTGAGGAAGATCACGAAGGAGCAAAGAAACCTGTGAATTAGGAGTAGGTTCTGCAAGAGGATAAAGGAGAAAGCGGGGGGTGGAATGGGGGGGTGAGAATGGTTTTAACTAACTTGTTCTAGCCTCATTTCCCTTTTCTATGTTTCTTCTGTTTTCTATTTTTCTATCTGTGAATTTGCAGGACCTGAAGGGGGAATAGTGTCCATAAGCCTGATGGCTCCAATCGAAGAAGCCCACTCAGTGGTCCTCCTACTTTACCTGGAGATGCAACAGGTGCACACACGGCAGGAGGGTGCACACACGGCAGGAGGGTGCTCACCCGGCAGGCCCACCCCAGTGGTCCCCACTGTAAGGTCAGCTGTGTTTCTCCGGGACCCAGGAGACAGAGACCTTCCTTCAGGGAGCCAGCAAGGGTTTCACACTGATTTACTGCTTGGCGTTGAAACTAATAACTTTTGTTTTTAATAATGACGTTTGCCGAGCTCTGAAAAACCTCGGCTGTGATTTAGCTGCTGTAAAAAGGCAGAAGATAAAGAGCCCCCAAACGCTCAGTTGCCTGAGAGCAAATTATAAAATCACTGTCTTAGGACTTCCCTGGTGGCACAGTGGTTAAGAACCCACCTGCCGATGCAGGGGACACGGGTTCGAGCCCTGGTCCAGGAAGATCCCACATGCCGCGGAGCAACTAAGCCCGTACGCCACAAGTACTGAGCCTGCGCTCTAGAGCCCGCGAGCCACAACTACTGAGCCCACGTGCCACAACTACTGAAGCCCGAGCGCCTAGAGCCCGTGCTCCGCAACAAGAGAAGCCACCACAATGAGAAGCCCGCGCACCGCAACGAAGAGTAGCCCCCGCTCGCCACAACTAGAGAAAGCCTGCGCACAGCTATGAAGACCCAACGCAGCCAAAAATAAAATTAATTATTTTAAAATGTCACTGTCTGTGTTTACAGAGGAGATGGCCTCGGTAGAAGTGGCATAATGATGAAGAGATAACTGCTGAAGTCATTCAACCTCAGCTGCACCTCACCTGAGGTTTCCTGTGGCAAAACAAAGGGGTTTCTACTCTGGTAGGGGAGACACCGCTCCCTTGGTCACACAGCCCTCACCCAGACAGGCAACCATTCAGGTAATGGCCTTGTCCTTCGTCATCTCCCGCTTTGGTATTACACCCATCACCCAAGCAACGAGGAGCAAGTCGGAGCCAATCACAGAGCGTGAGAAATGTAAACTTTTATGAACAAGGAGGAGGCCGCAGGGCTTCTGAAATGGAAGGTCATTTCCATAACAAATGATGATTCTGCCTGCCTCTGGCCCCAGGGGTGATCTGTAGGATGAACTTCTGACCTGTGAAATCCAGAGTCAGGCCAAAGTGGGGCCTTGAATGCGCCAGAGTCTGGGACAGGGACAAGGAAGTGGGCCTGGCAGAGAAATAGCTGACAGCAGCACCCCAGGGTTATTTGCCCTCATCTGGTTTTGAAGAAAAGGGAAAGGCCATGATGGGATAGCAAGACAAGAGACAGACATGTGGGGAATAAAGAAAACGACACAAAGTCTGGCTCTGGAGGAAGTTCAAAGTCAAGCTTTTGCACATTTTAAGGCTCAAAAACAAAACCAAAATTCTAGGTGTTAAAATAAGATCCTTGGGCTTCCCTGGTGGCACAGTGGTTGAGAGTCCGCCTGCCGATGCAGGGGACACGGGTTCGTGCCCCGGTCCGGGAAGATCCCACATGCCAGGGAGCAAATAAGCCTGTGCACCACAACTACTGAGCCGGCACTCTAGAGCCCGTGAGCCACAACTACTGAGCACACGTGCCACAGCTACTGAGGTCAGTCCACCTAGAGCCCGTGCTCCGCAACAAGAGAAGCCACCGCAATGAGAAGCCCATGCACCGCAATGAAGAGTAGCCCCCGCTCGCAGCAACTAGAGAAAGCCCGCGCGCATCAACGAAGACCCAACGCAGCCAAAAAATAAATAAATAAAATAAAAATCTTAAAAAAAACAACAACAACAGTGAGATGCCATATATACCTAATGGATGGCTAAAATCCCAAACACTGA